TGTGGCTGTTCTACTTCGACGTGGCTACGGCGGTCGCCAACAAGACCAATAAAAGCAGCGCTACAAGGATACCTCGAAGGATACCTCAGGCACCTCCAAATCGACCTGGAGGCCTGGAAGGGCCTTGCTCACGATCGATAGGCCGGATCAGCCATCTTCGAAGTTAACCGAACAGTCTCCGCCAGTCAAAAGAGGGAGACCCGCAAGACTCAACTGCTACGGAACAGTGACATGGGCACCTAACCACCGCTATCGTGTGTACGCTGGCAACGGAAACTGGGGTCCGGGATCGACCTTATTGGGCATATGAAGACCCAGTGCAATGTCAACACGACCAATCTGCCTCTCACCTTGCAACACACCTCTACTACCGCCGCTATTAGCAATAACAAAGCGGATACACGCACCGTCCGACAAAATATTTCTAGCAACAATGTGGACTCAGTCCCAGGCTGTGCCTATTGTGTTCGCACCGTCTCATCGCGCATAGGCTTGCTTGATCACTTGCGACTTAACCGGACAGATATTAACAAGCCTGTTTCTATGGCCTCAATATACAGACTCACTACCGGCCTCATCTGTCCACAATGTCAATAGAAATAAAGACACCGCATGGGTCTAATTGCCCATACGCGAATCCATGACAACGGAATTCACAGAAATTTCATTACACCAGATCTAGATCCTGCAGTTAAAGACTCCTCTACCACCTACACTACGTGGGCGAGACTACTAGCAAGCGACTGTCCCTTCTCTGTAGCATCCAGCAAGGGAACTTTCTTTCAAAAGGCCTTAATGAAATATGAGGAGGGCGAATTTCCTCTTCATATCCCTGATTGAAAGTATCTAACATTTGCTTATTAAAATCAAATAAAGAAGGAGTCAGTAAGTCTGTGACCAAACATACCGCTCCCGGTTAGTCGAAAAGGGGCAATTAAAAGAAAAACGAGCGCATTTATAGGTGAGGCTTCGGCCCCCCTCTAAATGGCGTTGTCTTTGCAATTTGAGCAGAATATAAGTTACGAGTTCTCAAGTAATTTGTTCACTCCTACCTAGTCAAATCCGAGTGCCGCTAACGCGGACTCCTTCTTTGTGCCTTATTAAATGAGGGTATGTAACTGTCAGCGTTACCAGCCATGGTTTAGGGAATGTGTGCGTCTGCTATGCCATGATTCCGCAAACCATGGTCCTTGCAGCCGGGTATGCGCTGGCCGTTCTCTGGAACCTGGTTCCCTGCCAGTGGATGCGTTTGCGCTCCCGCTTGGTATACAGGCCATGTGCATGGTTGCATGTGCATGACACGGTGACTCGTGTCATCCTTCTCTTTCTGACCCATTTTTGTTGTTGACTAACATCCTGGTCAAGTATCTGTTGTGAACCAGGGGGTGAAGTAGTACGCCTACAGTACAGCCATCCACCAGCTCCCGCAAGTGGAAACGAACAACGACCTGGACCTCCACCCTCCCTCCCAGAAGCAATCAGAGCCGTCCACCGGCTGTCCATCGGGAAAACTTCGGGATCCGATGAGATCCCTACAAGCACAGCGGCCCTCGACTGATGGGCATACTTACAGCACGTGACCTATCTCATGAAATCTGATAACGGAAACTGAGGAGCGAATTTATGGACGCCTTTAACGTTGAGCATTTTGTTCGCTCATCCACATCCTTCAATGAAATGTCCTTTTTGTGCAGAAATTTTTTTTACGTAATTATACCAAGTAAATCACTGGAAAACTGTTTTGGAATCTGCATTCAGAATGAAGGCAGTTTACAAACCGTCATATATGAAATCACACAACTTAATAAAGGATATTTAGATGTAAACTCCACTAAACCACTATTACTAAACGTTATTTTATGCCTGCGTTCATATTTACTACGCGTTTGGCATGAGAATACATTCTATACATCTAAAAACGAAGTTTACTAAAGTAGAGCCACTGCTGACGTTTTCGGGATATTGCACTTTCCAAAATAAATCGGCATTTTAAAACAACGCAACACTGCCTTTCATATTTTTTTTATGTTTTTAATTCTTTTAAACTCGTAATTAAATAACATAGACATTGGACTCATGAAATGGTGTCGGTTTGCGAGTGATTGGCAATCATTCGTAAATTCCGATACATTTCATTAGTTAGGTAACTAACTGTAGGCGCGGGTTATCGCCGTTCCAGCTGTCTGCGCCCTCCCTTGCCTCCAGTCTTTTTAACCCTGTCATGGCAACAGATCCAGGCGGAGGGCGAGTTCGGTCGATATTGTGCAAGTCTACTACCACTATAAACTGATTCGTGCACAGGTCACCGTGTCTCCTCTCATCCTGCTGTGGAGTAGACGGTGGACATTGTTGGTGACGACGGTTGAACTGTCATTACCGGCTGCGGTGTTATAACTGTAAAGCCAACTTTTCCAGTGTTGATGTTGAATGCGTTAATTGTTTGATGAAGACTGAAGACCCCTTAATTGAGTACCTGGCGGCCCACAAGGCCGCTGCAACTTGCGAAGATTTGAATCTTATAGATCTCGAAGACGTGATTGCAACTAAATTTCGAATAGTTTTCCCGCCATGCCGTCCACCACAGAGTGGTGCCTCCATACTTAGAATTAAATCAGCCATTCACATGCTTCGTGCCAGTCACTCATAGTACATCCAATGTTCTCCTGTTTGCCAAACGCCAGAGCTGCCCCGAGCTTGTGTTAGCGGTGCCTAGGCGGTTTCTGCACAGAGGTGGAGCAGTTGTTCACGAATAAATGACAAATCAGTAAGTAAGTGTACATCACTGACGTCAGTGAGCCGCCCGAACATTCTCTTGGGAAGGCTGCTGTCGCCACTCTTCGGCTGACCAGTCACGTTAAAAATGGGATTCAGAAGGAAATTTATGAAACGTAACCAAGGAATGTGCGGTACAACGTTTAATGGTGCCTACTAGCGCAGTTGTCACGTCTTTTCTGGGAATTTCATACGAATACATCTAACCCACCGAGCCATCTCTAGTTTCGCATAAGCGCTGAGAAGTCTTTTATTGATTAAGGTGAAAGGTTAAGAGGTACGGTAGGCCGATACGCAACTGGGAAACGGCTAGATGCGTCTCCCTATTTGTCAAAATAACCATTGTTTAGTGTAACTGTTGCACATTTCCGCGTACTACTGAGGTTTGATGCAACAAGTTGACAAACAAGCTGACACCGAGTGAGACGCTGACATCAAACGTGGGTTCAACGCCTCTGGTTCTATTTTGTCCGTTTGATTCTCTGCGCGTAGTACACGGCGGACTCACAGTACTAAGGTCTGCATCATGGAAAGATGTGATTTCAAATCAAATGGGCAGAATAAATTAATAAAAAAACTTGTGCACACTGTTTATCGGCAGTCATTCGAAAAAATCTGCCGAACATAATGTCGCGTTTGATGGGCATCCATTCGGCCTTGATGGAACCACATGACGTAACCTACACAATATTAGAGGGCGGGAGCGTGTATTCTGTGGACTGACTGTGGGAAGGGAAGAACTGGCAAGTCGCCTACATTTATTGCCAGGGAACTACCTGAGCGTTCCTAGCATGGCTATGTGCCATTTAGCGTTTACCTCGCAGACACTGCAGAGACGAACACAATGGACTTCCGCAGTGAGTCTTTTTTATCGATGCCTTAATCAGTCCTTACAAAGCTAAGCCGTGTAGTCGGCGGTTAGTGGCTGGTTATCCCGGCTACATCACACTTCTGTGCTTGCCAAATAAAAGCTTTTCTGTGCTGAACAGAAAACCACTCCCTCATATCAACTTGTCGAGATTGAATAAGCATCTATATAAATAATCCCACCCAATAATATCTTCCCGTAGCCAAATGATGTTATTCCACACGTCATATCAGCTACCTTAAGAGACAAAAAACAAAAACCGGGGATAATATGACGGTGTTGGAAATGGCCAAGTAGAATATTTTCAGTTAGACTGCTGGTTTGCAGTGTTTAACAGAAGATTGCTTCAGCTACCGTTTTCAATTCCCCACCATTAAGGGCTAATTTGCGACTCTCCCCATCCTTATTTTTGAGACAGGGCTTGCTGTCGTCTGTTTTCGAACTACTGTGTCACCGTCCGTTTCTCTAAATAATGTGTTGATATCATAGTCACTTCAGGTGCGCTACGGCCGAGTTTATGCCAGTAGAACTTAAAACACAAATTGCGCCTGTTCGTTCTGACAAAAAACTGAAAAAAACGGCAAGAACGTCGAAGAATATTAGATGCATTGGCTGCAAAAAAGAGCAAAATTAGAAGTTTTAAAACTATATTTGAAATGCTGCTCGGACACGGGAATGGAAACCCCCCACGAACTAGGGGTGGCTCAGCAAAATAATTCAAGGAGAGGTATCAATATCCGTGCTCTGATCCTAACATTAACCCAAGCCCAAACCCTAAACTTAATACCCGCCCTAACTCCAACCCCAGTCTCCCTGGGATCCAGCGCAAGGCCACCTTTATTAAAAGGTATGTTCCAATACCCGTTTCCCACCGAAAGACCACCAAAGAACATATATATTTCAACAAAATTTACACATTTAAATTATAGAAGTTAAAAGGTCCCCTACTCTGTTTAAGTTCCACGTTACGACAAAATTTCGCCCAGGTTTTGCTGTGGGTGAGAACATGAAAATCAGATGGGCAACTCCGTCCAATAACTAAGGTCGTTTTGTACTTTGCAGCTAGTGGTTGCTGCTACATTGGTTAGTCCGCCACAGCAATGTCAGAGGTTGTCTCGTCAGCACAACTTTGTTCTGTCGCCCCTATCGTCATCGCCCCCTCCTTCTCAATTTCCAGAATGTATAACAATTAATTCATGTAGTTGTTCCATGTTAAAACAATTAAATAGCTACTATGGCAACGGAAAGAAAGGAGTGCCACGTAGTTTCCATGGTCACGTCTTAGATGTGTCAAGGTAGAATACAGCTACAGCTGAAAAGCCAGTAGTTGGCATTTCACTGAACAGTTAACTGCTGTCTGATGCTTGTCGCAACTAATAACTACGACTTTGCTTTCGAGGCGAATCTTACGAGTGGGGTCCTCGATGCGGACGGCAAGTTTATTGGTGCATCAGTAGAGGACAACTACTCTCGTGACATCACTAGATGCTGCCAGAAGTTCATCAGAATTCTGTTTTCTGTGCTGGGCACACTGATCCTCCTCTGCCTGTACTTGGGCGCGGGCGCCTGGATGTTCCAGTACTTAGAGAAGAGCAACGAGGCGAGCGCCTGTTACGACACTTACAAGCTTTACCTCGAACAACTGAACACGTCGATGATCCGGGCTACGGGTATCCTGCACTCGGGCCTGCCTGATGAGGAGGTCAGTGGTCGTTTGCAAACCGCCATGACGGATTTCGCGGACAGCCTGTTCGCGCTCGATTTTGCGCCCAGCAAGAACTGCTCTGCCATACATACCACGCCATTTGGATCAAAGTGGAACTGGGTCAATTCGTTGTACTTCTGTGCAACAATACTTACCACCATTGGTGAGTTGGCCGCCACCGTATCTTTAATTCTTTCAACATTTCATCTGAAGTTGGGATAGCGATAGCCCCTGCATGAGTAATGTGTGTCTTGCCGGACCATTATCAGAGGTAAATACTAAGGCGACAAGATTAGGAAAGGAGTTTCATCAGAAAGACAAAAACATACGTGCTCCAAAATTTCAGACCAAAAGCCCCTGAGGGCCAAGACCAAGTAGCTGTCCTAACTTTTTTGAGAACTAAGTTACAATATTTAAAAGTTAGTTCATAACTATACAAAGTAGTTCGCAATTACGAAATGAGTACTAGAGGAAAAACTTATGTTCAGATGGGCTTTTTTGAAAATCGGATAATTTACTACTTTGAATAGAAACGCGCAATTTGTGATCGGCAAACTGTTCAATCAACGATCGACCTAGAGAGATAAAACGTGATAGGTAACCTGAAGCATGGGTCTACTATGCAGGTGGGGGGAGGGGGGGAGTGGGGGAGCGGGAGAGAAAGCCAGCCAAGTATGAGAGTTAGGACTACAGTGAGAACTTGTCCGGCGTGATTTAGAGTGCAACGCGCGGGCAGCATTCAGTCATGCCGGGGAGGCGGGGAGGGGAGATGGAGGCGAAATGAGAGGGCGCCTATGGGAACAGGGTTTCGTCCATAATCGATCTTTACCATGGTAGTGCCAGGCTTATCACGTGGTACAACTGCTTATAGAGTTCTGGTTTCCTCCTGCGTATTACAGCGGCCTCAGCAAAGCGCATGAGACGCCCGGTCGTCGCTCGAAACAGGACCTTGAATGCAACTATTGGGTCCGCCTTAAGCAGCCACTTCGGCATGTGTTCAGCTGACCGAGTCCCCAATTGCCTTTGCGTGCGCCCAATGTTGTAATTTGGTAGAATTCAAAAAACGGAAAACGCACTTTTGCATGATGCAGACTAGAGGAATTAAAAAGCTCACATAAGCAGAGAAGAAATGACAGCAGGCTGCTCATATGGCTGTCGGGTATTCCGCTTCCGACATGTGGACGATATAGCACACAACCGTAGGGCTACTAAATCCACCTTGATTATGACTCACAGGGCCAGCTTATGTCTGCGGTATGAGCAAAATTTCTGTTAGGCTTACGATGTCGGACCTCAAATCCGCGGAACAAATAACCATTTTTAGCTATGACTGTTGCAGGGACTTGCTAGTCTGACATTTGTACAGACAGCTGGAACTAAGCGGTAAATTAACGACTCATAAATTGAAAGGGGCAGTACGAGTTCCAAATTAATAAAAAGAAAATGAGACAATCCTTTAAACTAGTTAAAAGGAGGCACGTGGTAGGGTTGTTTTTAGGTGAAGACAAGATCCTCAGATGTACACAGTAAAGGTGCCCCGGAGCGTATGATACCAGAACGGAGGGTCAAACGACAACTTTAACCTCAACCCTCATCTGCTTGATATTTAGCGCAGGACCGCCTGTATTGAGTTAGGGGTTACTACTTCCGTGTATTACTCAAGTGTCAACCCATATAATTAACTGTCTCCATAGACACCCTATATACCCTATGGAATACAACGTTAGTCCCAATTTGGTGTCTATGATTTTGTAGACTTCTACTCCTAGCTGATAACGCCGAAAATAGAATGCGGCAAATTCTGTCTGGAAGAGCTTACCTCTCCATGCAATCGGTAAAAATTGGGTTGATATGTGTTTTCAACTGCATACTTTGTTGTGATTAAAGGCCCTTATCAGTGAACATCGCCAGATTTCCGTACGACGTACGCCTCACAGAACCTATGATTAGATCCACTTTTGTGAGAAACAGTTCTCGCTTTGGTCATCTTCTCTAACTACATTGGAAACAGGAAAAACCTTATATGCAACTTATATTGCATGGAATGCATTTTTTGCAAGATTTTTTTAGTATACGGCATGTTTAATTTAACATTTGACCCTATATTTTCAAACAATTTGCTTAGCCCTGGTTGAGTAACATTTTTTCGAAAATTTCAAATTGATGCTGTAGGTGTGACTGCCAGTCCTCCTTCAGTCAGGTTCTGCCGAGTAGATTCATCTTTGGTGTTAATATTTCTAATCCGCTCCAAGAGAGTGAGCCCGCTATACTTCCCACACGTGACTTTTTTGGCGCAGATGAGAATTATGTACGGGTCCTTTGAAGCGGTCATCGGGACTCAGTGGTGATTAACTGCGAGTTCGAGCACTTTGTAAGAACGTGGGTTGAATGAACAAAATGCCAACGAATGTGGGACATCGTGGCTCAGGCGGCTAGAGAGTTAGTGTACTTAAACCTTCCCCTCGTTGTCGTTGGTTCGAACCCCACCCAGGCACCGCGTTCTTCATGGGTGGGTCAAAACGAAATATAGTTCTGTCCGAAAACATCTAATATGGTAGTTTCAAGATAAGTCCTGTAAACCAAAAAAGGTGCTGAATATACATATTAGAAGTTGTGTCTCATTTTTCAGCAAGCTTAATAAATATAGGTTCAAGGGTAGGAGCAGTGAGACTTTGTCCATCTTTTGACAGACAGGAAAATATACCTCCTATTGCAATTCAGTACTGTCACTTATTGCTTTTTGCGAGATCAACGGTCATCATTCGACGTGGTTCCGATTTTCATGCCAAATGTCTGCTTTATTGATGAAGAAATATCAAAAAGTTTGCAACTCATAATAATATCTCTGGTATTATTCTTGAAATGGAGGGGGAAGGAGAATTTCTAACAATTTTGGTCAATGACATAATGTATTCCAAGACATGCATGTCAAAATTTACGAGAGCAAACCCCATCACTGTTCTGTTAGATTTCACCGTGTTCTTCTCATGTAGGAGTTAACTTGAAATGACTGTAGATTGTAAATGACCGGTGTAACGGGAAAGTGCTTAATACAATGGTAGACCTAATCGCAAGTGAAAACAAGCATGTACAGCAGAATTTATTGGGGCCAACAAATTTCGTGACGGCTTTTCAACTGCAACCCGTCTCTGCATAACATAGGTAACGAATGAACGCGCACAGCAGTATGAATTTGTACAGAATGGCAGTGCATAGTAGCAAGGTCAAAGTTCAAAATAATCAATAATCAGCTAATACGTCCACATAAGCATCAAAAAGGAAAAAAGGAAGACGAAATGTTAACAACAAATCACAGTCAGAGGAAAATAGAGGCGTGAGATTACCAGGGCAATTGCAGATTGATCACATGATCTAACTGCTTGCACAGGTCTGGTTTCTCCCTCCGTATGTAGGCTGCTTCCAAATAACGCAAGGTTCGAGTTGTACGTGCTCGGACAAGTACTCGAAAGGATGCTTTAGGGTCGACAACATGACCGCTATCTAACAGGTGTTTCGTTATAGACGAACGGGGGGTTCTATTTTCCTGTTTGAAAAGCCAATTAGGCAAATGCTCAGCGGCCCTGGTCGCCAATTGCCTTTGCGTTCGCCCAATGTACTTGCATCCGCAAGTGCATGTGAATTCATACACACAATTGGGGGTGGCGTGCATTGGCAAGGCATCCTTTGCCCGGTTAATTGGAAGGCTTTTTGTGGAACTGATGAAGACAAGCTCTGCTGCGTTGTACGTTCTTTCTATAGTGCAACGCAAGCGTCGCTTGATTGTGTTTGAGACGTTGTCACCCTTAAAAGGTAGACATATTATAACGGGCTTCTTCGGAACGGACTGTTCCGTCAACTTTGGCCGTAAATGGTTGCTGTACTTCTGAATGACGCGTGCAGGATAACCACGATTAAGTAAGGCTTCTTTGATACGGCTTCAAACTAATCGCAAGTGTTAGAAAGTCTACTTACCCTAATGTACACAGGTGGTGCCGCTGTTGTATGTCCCGCGATCTGTCAACCTCAGAGCGACTATTTATGCTTTGAGCCGCAGACTAAACCGTCTGGCTAACGACGAGAGAAGACAAGCAGAGGTTGCCTACTTGTATGCTTCTCATGTCTTCAGCCTTTTAATACTGCTCCAGTTTCGCTGTTGCAAAGGGGTACTTGCAACCTGGCATGCAATGCAAGGCTTTATGAGTTTCTCTATCTTCCCCACCAGGTTAGATCAGTTTGCGCTTGGCAACGCGTTCAAGCAGGTGGAAATGCGAAAGCCATTTACTAGAAAAAACGGACGTGTTTCGCATGCGCGATCGTGAATTTCAAGTAAAAGTGGAATGCAAAAACTGCCACTGCTGTCGGGAATAGCCACCCAACTTCCTCCTCTGTCATTCAGATTCGGCTTGCAATGAGGCGGTTGACTATGAAACAAAACGATTCAAATAACCTGTTAGGGGATTGCTGTGTACACTAAGCATTGCTCACTGACAGCTGCAGAAAATATTGTGTTCAAATGAGGAATACACTTTTGACTCGAACTTCAACTGGAGTCATACTGTCAGACCAAATGTTGACCTCACGACCCTCTTCGGTTTTCTAAATATTATGATGTACCTTAAAGGCATTGCATTGTGGGAAAAGCAGATCATCCTCCTAATAATTCAAATCACGTCAGCAATTAATATCCTCTATGCAAGTTGAGGAACCTTCTCCAATCAGTTGCCTCCCCAGAACGTCATATCATTGTATAAGGCACGCTGTCATTTACTATAACGTCAGAAATGATGAATACGTGGACTTTTCAACGTTTCATATTTTACATTGACCCAACTGTGAAAACCTCGGCGCCTGGTGGAATTCGAAACCACTACAGCAAGGAGAAGGCTTTAGTACAGCCAATGCTCTATTCACCTGAGCGTAGTGCCTCGTAGTTCAGGTGGCTAGAGCGTTGACTCTACTAAAGCCTTCCCTTGCTGTCGTGGGTCCGAATACAACCAAGGCGCAGAGTTTTTCACAGTTGGGCCAATATGAATTATTCAAAATCTTCCAAAACATCTATTTATTGCGTGGGCCTGGTAGTAATCTGGTGGATTCTAGGTGATTTTCTTAGGAAATCCTGTTTGAGCAGTCAGCTTACTAAATCGGATTTGGTGGAATCCAGATGTAACAGTAGGCTGGTCGGGTAACTTGACCCAAATATGATTACACTCACAGCTCCCGGTGGGGCCTCGTAGCTCAGGTGGCTAGAGCCTTCCCCTTGCTGTCGTGGGTTCGAATCCCACAGAGGTGGCCGAGTTCTCCACAGCTGAGTCACAATGAAATGGAAACCAACTAAACTCGTTGAAGATGGCACATCTAGCCTCCCTTGGCAACAACTTAATTGCCAATCAAAGAGTTAACTGAATAGAACATTCAAGTTAGGTCCGTCCTTTCTCAGGCTGATCGTCTTTTTCTTCCGCCCTCCCCCTTGTGTAGGCTACGGACACATCGCGCCCAAAACCCAGTACGGTCGTATGGTATGCATGTTTTATAGCATCCTCGGGATTCCCTTGATGCTTATTTATCTTAGCAATGTCGGTCGGGTGTTGGCCCACGTCTTCCGCTTTGTGTACACGAACTTCTGCTGCTGCCGATGCTTTCGGGACATCAGTATTCGTCGCCGAAACCGCCAGAGATTTCGTCTACTACGTCTGCAAGAGGATCTCCGCCGGCATGTTGAGCTGCAGGCTAAAATACGCGGCCAAATGATTCCACCACCAAAGGTGAGTTCGGTGCGAGCGTAGCAAATTCGATGTGCTTTTCTTGCTGATATCGTCTTCTTCTTTCTTTTTCATTCCTCTTCCCCTTTTCTTCACCTCCCTCTTCTTCGTTTCATTATTTCTATTATTATTATTATTATTATTATTATTATTATTATTATTATTGTCACTACTCTTATCGTCGTTAATAGTACTGGCATTCTTTCTCGTCGTCTCACGTTATTTTTTGCCTTCAGCACTTTTCAGTTTAACTCCTCTTGAGGGCTACACTTAAGATTGCACACCGTAAGTATCGACAAAATAAAAATAGCAACCGTAGTTGAAACTTTTCATGAACGCTCCACGTCTTCCTCCTCCTCCTCCTCCTCCTCCTCCTCTACCACATCGTACATCTTGTCACCTCCAAGGTTTAAATGCATTTCAAGCCAAAATGTGCGAACCACCTACTTAGATAGAAGCAAAAATGCAGGTTCTAGAAAGCAGATCAGAAGAAGAAGAAGAAGAAGAAGAAGAAGAAGAAGAAGAAGAAGAAGAAGAAGAACGGGAGGAGGAGGAGGGTGCGATCGCAGGAGCAAGAAGTTTATTGGCCTGAAGTTTCGGATTCCGGCTCGAACCTTCTGTCTTCATATTTTGGGCTGAGACTTTGTTCGGGAATGTAATTAGACAAGCGGGGAGGGCGCGAAGGAACAACAGTTCCAGTGATAGCAAGCCAAGTTGCCGAGTGATTATCAGGCCGAGAATAAAAGTCGGGGATGAAATTACGACAATTAACGGCTCGCTTGCGGACCCGTAGGCAGGCCTCGCATCAAATACGAGTCGCAATTATGGCCGCAGGGGCAGCTACTTATACCATTCATGTGGTCGCATGGCAACTACGCCCTATAAATACTACACTCGCAGTGCCTCCGTCACCCTTACCTGCGACTGTCTTTGATGTTGGATTCGAGTGAGAATCTGAGACGTCAAGCCTATAAACTTCCGCTTTCAGAGGGCTTTCTACCTAGACTTGCTAAGAAGGATTTTTATTGACGAGGAAAGAAAAGCCACGTCCTCCTCTTGCGTTATACTTTGCGTTTGCAATAAAGATGATACCGACTGACCTCCATGCAAATTCAGTAAATTCCACTAACGCCATGCTGGGCAAGGCTCGGAAACGCAGTCCTGTTGGGAAATGGGGAAAACCAGAAGCGTCGAATATGAAAACCGCGGTAAAAGAGCTTTATGGGTGGGGCTGGGGGAAAACAGTAAAGAAGTTGCGAAAACCAAGGGAAGAACGCAAGTATTATAGGCAAATATGCTAGTTAGTTTTAGTGGGCATTAAATCTCAGCGTAAGCACCGTGCAGTATAAAACTTCATCACAGGCAACCAGTAAAACCAATTCCACGAAAGATAAAGGTGATTGGTCCGTCAAAATCATCGAGAGTGAGCCGCTCAGGGTTATCGATAGGGTGTAGGATCCCCAAATAGGGGGCAACTCCAAAAATATGCCCGAAAATTCGGTGTGACTGTAAACATCACTTAGTATTCACCGTTCCCATTGTTTGAAATTTCATTTCCTTCCTGACTGGATGCAAACTTACCAGTGGCGCTTTATTCAAGGCCAGCTATTTTTGATAATAGCCTTTTGTTTATTTTTTTACTATCTCGTTCACTTTCTATGCCAAATGACAGCGTGCGATAAGACTTTTGGGAGCATGCGGGTGAAACACACCTGCCACCACCAGAGCAACTGCGGGAACTACTACAGATATGCACAAAGAATGTACAGTTCTTGTTCAACGGGCGGCTGTACCGACAGATCGACGGTGTAGCTATGGGCAGTCCATTGGGGCCAGTCCTAGCGGACATTTTTATGTCTAATCTAGAGCGAAAACTAGCTCGGAACTTACAACGAGCCTCATTCTATAGGCGATATGTGGATGACATTTTCGCTGTAGTCAAAAACCCAGGCGACGGAGAACTACTACTCAAGGCTCTGAACAAAGCACATGCAAAGATCAAATTTACGATCGAGCATGAGAAGAACGACACACTGCCTTTCCTGGATATTCTTGTGCGTAGGCGGGCAGATGGCTCTATTCAGAGATCCATCTATCGAAAACCCACCTGGAAAGGACAATACATGCACTTCCCCAATTTCGTTCCAATTCAGAGAAAACGGAACTTGGTTTTGTGCCTGTTAAACAGAGCCACCAGAATTTGCTCCTCAGATACGATCGATGACGAGCTTACTTTCCTAAAGAACGTTTTGCTTGCAAACGGGTATCCGGAGAAATTCATCGATAAATATCGCCATCCCAGACAAGAAACTCCTGAAGAAATATCTGTACCTAAAAAGCCCGTGACCATCTACCTCCCCTTCAAGGGTGATAACGTGTCAAACGTGATCAAGCGACGACTTCGGTGCACTATCGAAAGGACGTATGCCGCCTCTAAATTGTTGTTCATAAGCACCACAATCGCCATCCGCGTTAGACCAGTTAAAGACATTTTGCCTATGCACGCCACAGCAAACTGTATTTATGAGTTTACATGTAGTTGCGGATGCAAGTACATTGGGCGCACGCAAAGGCAGTTGGCAGCTCGGTCAGCTGAGCACATGCCGAAGTGGCTGCTTAAGGCGGAAAATAAGGTACCCAGGAGCTCAATCACAAAGCACCTAGTGGACACGGGCCATACGGTGGACCCAATGGTTGCATTCAAGGTCCTGTTTCGGGCGACGACCGGGCGTCTCTTGAGCTTTGCAGAGGCCGCTGCAATACGGAGGAGGAAACCAGAAATTTATCTGTTTTCTGTATCTTCTTGCTCTCCGTCCTGTTTGTTGTCCCGCCCGTAAAACCTCGTCTACTACCATTCAACGTATGACACGGCCCACCGGCCAGCTCAAATTAGATGGGGGTAATGCACCCTATCGTTGCCCTCCCAAGCATTTGACCAATCAGAAGAAAGGCGCAGATGGCAGGGTAAGATGTGGTTTGGTAGCCCCACCTGGAAAAAATAGTACAGCCGTTCGACCTACCTATATGCCTTCGAGTAAACGTGACTTCATCGTTAGATTCTGCGACTACGGTTTAGAGTTGAGTTGTTGGATTTAGGTTTAGGGTCTAGGGTTTAGGGTTACGGTTAGGATTTAGGGTTAGGGGTTGGGTTTTAGGGTTAGGGCTAGGGCAAGTATTTAGTTTTAGGGTTAGTGTTAGAGTTAGGATTTAGGGCTAGGGTTTATGGTCATGGTTAGAGTTAGAATTAGGATTTACGATTAGAATTTAGGGTTAGGATTAGGGTCAGGGTTAGCATTTAGAGTAAGGGTTAGGGTTAGTGTTAGAACTTAGAGTGAGGGTTTGCATTTAGTGTTAGGGTTCGGTCTTAGAGCTAGGGTTAAGATTAGTGTAAGGATTTAGTGCTACGCCTAGGCTTAAGGTTTATCGTTAAGGTCTGGGTTAGGGCTCAGTTTAGGGCTTACGGTTAGGGTTTATTGGTAGGGTTTAGAGTTAGGGTTTAGGTTTAGGATTTCATGTTAGGGATTAGAGTTAGTTGGGTTTAGGATCTAGGGTCTTGCGTTAGGGCTGGGGTTTATTGTTAGGCTCTGAAGTTTGGGTTCGGCTACTGTTTAGGATTTCATGTTCGGGTTTAGATTTACGGTTTCCGAATAGGGTTAGGGTTAGTTTTCAGGTTTGGTTTTTACTGTTACCGTTACGTGTTAGGGTTAGAGTTTAGGTGTACATTTAAGGTAATGCTTTACAGCTACTGTTCTTCCGGCTGCTGGTAAGTTTTAGGGTTAGGGTTTAGAGCTTAGGTTTACGATTACTCAATTCTGTTGCGGATCCCCTACGAAGCTTTTGGTCTTCGGGTGTTTACTTCATGTTCCATTAAAGATCGTTTTGTTTCCCATCACTCTTTGCCTTCCCATGGGCCGCACTACATTTTGAGTCCGCCTACACCTCCTTACGGCTCGTAGGCTCACTTCCGTTAAAGTGTCAGTGTTTCACAGGCGATCGGAGGTTTCGATTGTTGTTCCTTATATCTAGCTCCATCTTGCGAGTTTCAACCTAGTGACTGACTTCAGCCTGCAGACCCGCATACTGGCCTTCGGCTAGTACTTTTTCCGTGTCTTCTCCAGTTCCCCCGCTTTCTTCGTCAATTGGGTTTACCATCACCGGCAGGGTTACTCAGCATACCTTCTCCTTAGCCTAGACTGCGCTGTTCTCGCCCTTAGGGTTATTAGCCACCTAACCTTCTTTGATTGGCGACCTACCTACTGCCGTTTGCTCTGTTTGTTTAGTGCGTTGTTTCAACGGCTCCGCTATGCAGTCGGCAGACCAGGTAGTAGGCGTACCTTGACCGCCGGCATGACCCTGCGTGCGCTTACCCATGCACTACCTTTCCGGCGACACTAGTTCAGACGGCTGAGGGGGGGGGGTGGTGGAGCACGCGGGCGGCGCAGTGTATCCTGTTCCCAGGTGGGGCTACCAAACCATATCCGACCGATGGAAGTTGTGAGAAGCGGGTACCAAATGAATCCCTAACCATAAAAGCTAACACTAGTCCCTAGCCCTTAAGCCTAAACCCGAGCCCTGACCCCAGACCCTAAATCCTTACGCGAAACCCTATTCCTAACCCCTAACCTTAAAACTAAAGTCCTAATTGTAAAACTCGAAATCTATCGTAATTGTGAATCATAGTCGCAGCAGTCCGCGAGGCACCTCAAATTGAAAGTTTCCGCAAGTAGTACTACGCCTGCTGAAATCAATTATAGTGCGAAAGTGGTATTTTGATGGCCAAACAGGACAGCGTTCCCGAATCCCACCCATTTCTGGCCTAATAGTTGAAAGTGCGATACTACATCGGTAGGAACAACTTAGGGATTGGAAACCGGTGTCGTTAGTCTTTTTAAACAATTAAATGCTACTAGTGTGACAGAAATTGTTGAAGGCAAGATGACTGGGCAAACCGCTTTCACAAAATGTTATCACAAGCGTCATTGCTCTAGCGCCTATAGTGCTGATTTTTCTTATTCTTATGTTCAGTTGACTTCAGCGGTGATTGACTACAGCTCGGATGATGATGACGAGATCCGGCAGATAGACAAAGAGTTCCAGGAGACTGACGATGCAGGTATTCCCATCTGCGTCGTGATGGCGGTCATTGCGGGCTACGTTGTGCTGGGCACCTACCTATTCCGAATCTGGGAGACGGACTGGACTATCATTGATGGGGCTTACTTCTCAGTCATCACGATCTCGACTATCGGATTCGGTGATCTCTTTCTTGGCAGTGGGCGCTTTGAGCAGGTAAAATACTGATCCTACAAGAACTTTCGATTAGGCACGGGAATGGGAACCCCCTGCAATACAGGTGGCCTTCCGTCAAAGTCCAGGAAGGATACCTATTTTCGAGTTCCAGCCTTAACCCTAACACTACTCCTAACCACTCTTAACCCCAACTTTAAACTTAAGCCTGACTCCACCTTAACCCTAATCCCTCGAGCTATTTATCGGCATGGATCAAGCGTTTATTTACACAGGGCTAGTACCACACACAAACTCTTCGATTTCCGATGCAAGCCTCCTCGGCTGAGTGGGTGGCGGAGGCCTGATTAAACGTTCCTAAGTGATGTTAGTCAAAGTATGGTCACGATGGTCAATGCAAGTTGACTGATTCAGTACTGCTTTGGGGTTATTTCGCTGCCATCCAGCCAATGGTAGCTCTGCGTACTGTCATGTACCTGATTTGTAGTTAGGTACGGACACATAACGCACATGTATTTGGGGGATAGGACCCCTCAAGCCAGTCACAAGCACTTTATCATACTGAAGGACATGACTGACTGTATACCTAGCATTTTCTGTAATCACAGATAGTTAGTTTATTCACGCATATATAGGGCATACCGATCGATTACCTTCTCTCACCACGGGATTTGTTGTTTTGGTCGGAATCGTTAATGATGACTAAAAATTTCCTTTATGGTTCCATGTTGAAATTAGTTCCTCAGCAGTTCCAAAGTGCTCTTGAGCACGTTACATCCTCCGACGGCTGGCTTCTCACTACGGCGTCTCCGAGTTTGTGTTCAAACACTTGTTAGTCAATATTAGCGATGGCAAACAGATCCCACTCTAATCAGTCATGTATATTTCCTTTATTTCTCAATGAACGCGAATACAATACGGTTCCTTAAAAGGGGATACTCGAAAATGACAATTATTCTTGTTACTTACAGTGAGGGAGGTTTCCTTGAGAATGATTGTTTGTAAAAAGTGAGGATTGTGGTTTTAAGCTGTTCGAAGTCGTTTGCCTGAATGACATTTTAGTTGCATGTATCCACTTGTCTTCCGAGCCGGCTTATAAGGCGCATTATATGTCCAGTAAGTTTTATGTGAAGAATAGCGACATTTTATTCAGACAGAATGCCTAATACGTAAATGAAAATCCTGAAATATGCAAAAATTGAAGGCATTTTTAAGAGAAGGTGGGTGTTGAAGAACTGTTGTAAGACCCTGACCAGCCTCTCAAAAAATGCAATTTTCTCATAAAACGCTTCATGAAATGACATTTTATTTACCCTTCCTATGTAAAATACTTGAACGTACATATGATCCAAGCTAAAATAAAATCATTGGCCAAATTTTCCGTGGTACTTCCTCGAGCAGTATCGTTTTAAGTGGTCAAAGAGGTTACCGGTACAAAGTGAACATGCGACTGAATACTGCATTGAAGCAGGACGCAAACAGGCTTTCAGAAATCACAGGGGAGCGCTGCATGGAATAAGAGCGTTCCGCTTGAAACGGAACTCCAGTCTAGCAATCGGTACTCGTAAGTATCATTAATAAAAACGAGGGCAACTGCAATGACCATGTTTTACTTATTTGTAATCAGCAGCCAGTCCTACCTATAGCTTAAGCTGTTAAGACCCAGGCGGGAACGCGCGCATCTTGACAACTGCGTCAAATGCACTGTCACTGAGTTATGGGGTTTGCACCGTCAGCCTTGAGCTGCAAGCCTTTCCCACGTGGTTGACTATCCATATGCCGGAAACGTTTACTTAAGCCTCTCTTGCCAGTGATTCCTCCTAATCCCTCCTATTTTAGTACAGGTTTATGAATTTCGGTCAGTGTCTCCTGATTTTGACCTCAACTGGCCATTGTGTTTAGCCACTGCCACTTGTCTTCTTCATTGATTTACATAAATACATGCATGTATGCATCCATTTCACCCACACGATGAACTAAGTCGAGAACAATAGCTGAGCTACTGCTGGGCGCCCTCTACTGTATCGTCGGCCTGGCGCTCCTCTCCATGTGCTTCGAGCTCATGAAGGAGGAACTGGTGGGCAAGTTCCGCTGGATTGGCTCCCGCCTACGCCTCGTTCAGAACAACCAGACGGCATATCAGGAAACGACCGGCTTCGTGCCACCGCCTTATGAGCAGCCGCAGCACAGCGGGACGTCGTACACGGAGGGCGCGGACGACGAGGGTGAGTGCTGCGCCGACTCTGCCATCACGCCCTCACCGCGACCGCGGAAGTCCATACTACGGTCGCAAGCGCAGTGCCCCACTCGCGGCAGTCTGTCTACGAACTCGGGTGCGCAGCCGGACAGTGGAAGCATGGGCGAAGACAATGCGGCCTTTGAGAATGAGGCTGAGGCCTACATTGAAGCAGCAGAGGAGCAGCTGCAAGCGGATACTGCTGAGAATTAGCTGCGGTGGACTGACAAAATCTTTTACACGGGGACACTTTCGCGTTGCACTTTTAACATTAGATGACAGAAGTCGCCTTCTGCAAGCCATCGTACCCTAGAATGTGACATCACACTTTGTAACAACAGGACGGTTAAGTGCATATTGTGCTTTTCTTCGTGTATCAGTCTGCATGTATTTGGCAGTCCAGCCCAGCATTAACCAAACGTTCATCCATTTGACAACATACAAGACACCTGAATATCAATAAACCGCAAGCTAAAGTAAGAATGCTACCCTTTTTGCTACCTTGCGCCCGTTAGGGTTGACACAATGGAATTTTCAAACTTATAAGGGAGAAAGCATTTCGATGTCAGTAGGAAGATGGAAGGTAAGGTCAGTCGAATAATTAGAGACTGTAGATACAACCGTTAGAAAAGCAATGTTCTGCAGGGTGTGTCAGAATCAATTCTAACTTTCATGAAGACAAGAGTGCCGAATGACAGGAATCTGTTCTGGGAATCTCTCACCTCACTAATGTCTGACGATAAGTAGAACGGCGAGGAAGACCGGTCCATTTGAGAGCTCTGGAATCTCACAGGACTGGGATAATAGAACAAAAACAATCAAATAAATTCCAGATGATTAGGGGTAGGCAAATTACTGCTTTGCAGAAAGTGTGTGCTAAGAGAAGATCGCACTGAGATTTTCTCAGTCAGATTACTTCCCTATAAAAGGTAAGAGATGGAGAAATTTGTCTACAGAAATAAAAAAATCCAGTTTAGACAAAAAGTTAGGTATCGAAGGCGGACGGATAATGCAGACTGGATAAATCTTCATATGGAATCATCTGTGAACAGTGGCCCCTCAGATCTACCCAAGTATCCGTCAGTTCTATTGAACACACAGGACACAAAAACGCAAACTTCGCAAAAAGTTGTGAACGACTTTTAGAAAAGCAGCTGGTGCTAGCTGCATGTTCGGTATACCCATTTTCACAGCCCATTACAGAAAAAGAATAACCTAAAGGTATGGCTCGCAGAAACGCAAGCGGATGCCATCACCATAGCTGAAGTGTGGTTGAAGGCTAAAATAAGAAACGATAGTATGATGATATCAGGATGATATCAGTCATATCGACAGCCAACATACTCGGGGAGACCTCCATTGCACATGTACGGAGGAAATTATAGTACTAGAACGAGCAGTTTTCCCCAGGTGGTTGTAGAGCAGTTTAAAGCACCGTTTTCCCGGTATAAATGTGAACAAGGCAAAGGCGACGAAACATACAGAATTTATTGATGTAATAAGTTTCGTGACCTCTTACTCAACTGCGCACGTTTATTGCGCATTTGTAAGACAAGGTAAACCGTTCAATCAAAGATCGACTTAGAGAGATGAAACGTGATAAGGTAAAATAAAACGTAGATTGTTGGTCTGATGTGCGGCTGCGCATAGCGAGAGGGAAGGGGGGCGGGGGAGGGGAATCAGCTAAGCAAGCGGGATCAGATTACAAAGAAAACTTGTCGGGGGCGATTAAAACTGTAACACGCGGGACAGCGGTCAGGCGTGTAGGGGAGGGTGGGGGGTGTGGGGAGGAAGTGAGAGGACGGGTAGGGGGATGGGGTTACGTCCATAATCGATCTTTACCATAGCAGTGCGAGGATGATCACGTGATCCAGTCCTGGCTTCTTCCTCCGTACTGCAGCGGCCCCAGCAAAGCGTGAGACGCCCAGTCGTCGCCCGAAGCAGGACCTTAAATGCAACCATTGGGCCCACCGTATGGCCCGTTTCCACTAACTGCTTTGTAATTGAACTCCCAGGTACCTTATTTTCCGGCCTTAAGCAGCCACTTCGGCATGTGTTCAGCTGACCGAACTATTGACCGCCTTTGCGTGCGCCCAATGTATTTGCATCCTCAACTACATGTAAACTCATAAATACAGTTTGATGTGGCATGCATAGGTAGAATGTCTTTAGTTGGTCTAACTGGAATGGCCGTTGTAGTACTTGTGAACAACAAGTTAGAGGCAGCATACGTTCGTTCAGTTGGGCACCGAAGTCGTCGCCTGATCACGTTCGACACATTATCATCTTTGAAAGGGAGGTAGATGGTCACTAGATTTTTCGGCACGGATATTTCTGCAGGAATTCCTTGTCCGGGATAGCAATAGTTATCGATGCATTTCTCCGGATACCCATTTCTAAGAAAACCGTTCTTCAGGAAGGTGATTTCGTCATCAATCGTATCTGAGGAACAGATTCTGGTGGCTCTGTTGAACAGGCACAAAACCAAGTCCCGTTTTCTCTGAATTGGAAAGAAACCGAGGAAGTGCATTTGTTGCCCTTTCCAGATGGGTTTTCGATAGATGGATCTCTGAATGGAAACATATGCCCGCCAACCAACAAGAAGGTCTAGGAAAGGCAGTGTGTCGATCTTCTCATGCTCTATCAAAAATTTGATCGCTACATGCGTTTTGTTCAAAGTCTAAAGTAGCAGTTCTTCGTCCTCTGAGTTTTGGCGAAAATTTCATCCACATTTCGTCTATAGAATGAGGTTCGTTGAAAGTTCCGTGCTGATTTTCGCTAGAGGTTCGGCATGATAATGACCGCTAGGATTGGCCCCAATGAACTACTCATAGCTACACCGTCGATCTGTTGATACAGCTGTCCGTTGAACAAGAACTGTACATTATTCGTGTATATTTGTAGTATTTCCTGCAGTTGCCCTGGTGGCAGACATGTTCCACCTGCATTCTCATAAACTGTGTCATTTGTTTCATCCAGTGGCCCGTTTGTAAACTGACTCTGCATTTCAAGCAATTACATGTGCCAATTCAGTAAATTCTGATTCTCGAGCTCATCTACGAAGGAGAAAGTATCTTCGGTTGTGTAGACGGCAAGGCTGCGTCTGATTGGTTCGATTTGTTGGAATAAATATTGGGCGAGTTTATGTTGAGGTGAATTCCTCATTGATAAAATTGGTTGTAACGGTACCTCTGGCTTGCGCAATTTTTGTAATCCGCATCGTCTGAAAATATGTGAACCTACAGGCCTAAGACATGCAGCCATGCTCTCGTCTACTATTTGCTTATCTAGTAACGATTTTACCTTTTTCCCAATTAGGTCTTCCAGGGCTTTTGGTTCTTCCTTCACATGGGTTTCCGAGGAAAACTTCCTGGGGTCACTCAATATCGCTTCCATCTTACCCACGTAATCAGTCTTGTTTAGGATCACGACACCGATTCCTTTGTCAGGTCTCGAGATAACGACTTCAGCAGCCTTACGTAAGTCAGTTAGGGCCGAGATGTGTTTTTAGTTAGTAATGAGCGTTGAGTAAAGCAGTTTGTTTAAACTAAAAGCAGACCTATTACAAAACAGGAATTCCCTATCATTTACGTGCTAAAGGAAGGATGTCCAAAAGTTGGTACTCGAATTACTTAAGAAGGTAGCTCACAGTCCAGTAGCACTTGCTACTGCAGACTTCAGTTTACCAACAATAGCATGGAATAAAACGCCCTTCAGTAGCTCCTCAAACTCATTCGCTGCATCTTGCACGATGTAACATTTCCAAAAAGGATCACCGTGGAAGAAAGGTCAAGTTGCCTGGATTTCGCATTTACGAAAGGACTCAGTAACGCTGACAAACTTTGTTTTAGCGTACTTGCCAGTAAGCGCGGCCATGCAAGTCTCTTGTCTTACTCACGGCAACGAGGACAACCCACAGTTCAACTAAATGTATGGAAGGGCGATTCGTAGGTAATAAATTGAACTGCAGTCTTACTGGAAACCAGAATTATAACTGGATTATGGTCAAAACGGGTAGCTTAGAATCCTGCGCAACAATGTTGTTTAACAACAAATTCTGGTTCATAAACTACTCCGTGTGCTTAACATGGGAATTAAAGGGAAGAACAAATATAAAAAACAAACCGCCTAGGAGGTAGGGCGAAACAGTCTAACCGCAGTGCCTGGACGGATTTGGTCACAAGCGACTTAATGTACGGTTTATGGTTTTGTCAATACAAGCGAAAAAGCGACTTTTAGGAAACAACTGAAAATAAAAAGGCATGATCACTGAAGAAATAAATGAACTTCTCCGGGTTATCGGTTCTACACTCAATCCTACCATCAGAGGTAGCGTACAGACAAGGGTAATGTACAATGGGAAAAAAACAACCAGTTCGCTTTCCTTGATGTCCTCGTCCGCCACAAAGATGGTGATGACCTAAAAACTACAGAGCTCAGAAAAGTGCTACCTACGACACAGATACGAACATTCAGTGGTAATCATCTAATCAACTGCAAACGCAACTACGTATGGGCACTATAACGACGTGTTGAGACGCATTAGAATAAACCAGGAGACACGATTTCTGAATCACAATACGCCAACAAGTGCTAGAGCGGACGGCTACATACGAAACTCCTGACAGGGACGAAATCGCACCAGCTCCAACTTATAGTCGATGCTCCCATTCTTCAAGAACGTCTCGGAAGCCCTCAGTCGCCTTCCGAAACCACTTGGTGTTGGGGTTGCAAACAGGCCAGAAGCAACTACCAGGCGCCAGTTGCCGAACCCGAAAGGTCCACATCCACGGCAGGAAATGCCGGAAGTCTTTTGCCAGGTCTTGCGAAGTTGCGGGCAAAGCAAATACTTCGGAGAAACTGGGAGATTACACCTAACGTCAATGGCGGAACACGCAACGGCAGTAGTAGCAGGGAGAAAGGACATCAGTTCTGGGGTCGCGGTTCATTTGACGGTACTCGGTCACATCTTTAGGTTTGATGAAACTCGGGTAATAAAGGACTCACAAGCGAACCGTCAAGTAATTATCGCACTGCCTATTCGTCTTGCCAAGCAAATGACCGGCTCGAACCGCGGGTGGGGCCTGGGAATGGGAACATAGAGTGAGGCCGACGGCCCAGCGCGCTTTCTTCACTAAAAGCAATCTGATGCGCACGAAGTCATCACAGTGCGCTAAAGGCCGTGATCTGGAAGGCTGCCAACTGGGGATACG